CACCAGCTCCGACAAAATGCTGCTTTATTACTTTCATTACTAAATAAAAAAAAAACAATAAAAAGACAATTGAGTACCAAATACCCCTTAATTTATAGCTTATCTAGACAGTTGCTTTGGTGATAAAGCACAGGAACGTTACTATTTTCAGCCCAAAATGCTTTTTTTCCTGCACAGTTTTTTTGCTAATGTTTTCCATCAAGGTTTTTATATACAAGATTCTTGGAATATGACACAGACAGACAAAATAATCCAAGACTACCAGCAGCATATATAACAACAGTATATATATAACATTAAAATGGTAATGAATAGCCTTTCCCAAACCACCCTAACAGCAACCTTAGGTAACCCATAGTTGTTAATAATGTTTTGCTGGTTTTTCTATAAAACATAAACCCACATTATATTGATTAATGATAATAGATTAATATACTTGAATAAAATTATATTAAAGGACTTTAAAATAACTGAACATAAGCATGAACATATTCAGGACACTTTGAAATCACCTTGATATATTTTCAGCTTTTGCTGGAAAATGCATATGAAAAAACACTTATTTTACAATCTGTATTTCAATACTATTCCTTCTGCTAAAATACAAGCACAGACCATGTTCCAGTGGGTTCACTGCCCAAGATTTCAGAGAAGGTAAGAGTTAATTCAGCTTTAGCACACACAAGATTACCAATTAAAATAACACCAGCCAACCACAGATGTAACACAGCAGCTTGGTGTATTGGTTTTACTGAAACCATAAGTAATCCTCAGAAGAAACTCAGCAAAGATGAACAGAACATTTCAGAACTTAAACCTCAAAAATATGAAAATATTTCTCTGGGAACTAAGCCTCTTAAACTGAAATAGAAAAGCTTATTTTTACAGGGGTAGGAAGAATTATTGGAAAATACAGAATACTTCTTATTACTCAGTATTTCCATCACATTTATTTTGACAAGTCAAGAATAAGAACCCATTATTTCAAATTAAGTCAGATTGATTTTTATTATTTTCCTCCCTAGTCTTTCCTCATTTATAATGCTGTTGGCAACACTGTAAATATTTATTTCTCCAGCATCACTGTGCACCATTTTCAAGCAATGTATACGACCACATTACTGATTTTTTTAAAAAAAAAGGTAAAATAGAAGTACACAAACGTGCAGAATCAAAATCATTTACGTGACTTCTTTTTCTCCAAGTGGAGGAAATAAAAACCTCGCTGCACCACACTGTGTGCACACTCAGTGACCATTTCTCAGCTGAGGAATTCAAACCTTAATAAAAAAAAAACAAACAGATCACTTCAGCTTGTTTCACCATGTCATCATTTAATGGAACACCTACACACCGTTTGCCCAAAGGAATTATCTGTGCCCTGCCATGTGCCAGGAGCAAAGCTCCCCGTGGGATTCTGGGTTCCCAATTGCCCCTGGAACAGCTGAGGGAACTTTTTCTTTTGGAAGAGGGGATGACCCATAAATTAGCCAAGCTACGAAAAGCAACAGTTATTTTTTCAGGTGCTCTTTGCATTTAATTAAATTAAAAACAGCTTAAATCATTTGAAGTTGCTCCTGGAGTTTGAACTCTGTTGAACTATACTGAACCAAACTGATTTTCCCCACAATTTCCTACGCACCAAGAAAACCATCACAGAAGTCGTTAGCAAATACTCTCACATAAGGTGATCATAATTTTTTTTTCAATAAGATGTTTTAACATTTTATCGTGGTGCTTTCCCAAAACAAACAAACAAACAAACCCTATACAAGACTTGGACAGGGATTCTGAACAGACTGTGAGGAAGAATTTTCACCCCACAGTGGAAGGCACTATCAATGCCTGGGATCAGACAACTTCTGTGAACTCCAAACTTAAAGATTTCCTTTGGGAAGTTGTGTAGAAAAATAATCAAGTTTGCCATTTTCCCTGGGTAGTGTGGAAGTTATTTAGACACACACAGCTGTAGCACAGACCATAAAACATGCAGAGCTGTTTAGGAAGTGACACATGATATTAAAGATACTCGGGAAAGAAAACCCACAAGTTCTGCACTACATTTCCTGTCAAAAGGGTCTGGTCTGCCCTGTAAAGAAAACAAAACACCACCAGAGAGGGATCTGCCTGGAACTGCCTGTGCTGTCCCCTCCCTGCTCCTGGCAGGGCAGGGAAGCTCACCCTGCAGACAGATCCCGGCAAGGCAGGCCAGGCCCTCTGGTTTCTGAGGCTCCTCTCCCATCCCAGAAGTAGGTCAGGGCCACTGCCACGCTCCACTTCACCCCTGACTTCACTCTGAAATCACAGACCTGCTGCCCTTCCCTCCAGTGCCATTCACAGAACCCACAGCCCCGAAGGGATTCACTCCCTGAATTTACTCCTGTGGGGTTTAACTCCTTCCCTGTTCACTGACACCCAGGCCCAGACTCCTCAGCATGCTCCTGAAATGAAGTCAGTGCCTCTGGATGTTGGACATTTGAGAGGACTAACTCTGCCCCAAGTACAGAAGCACAGTTCTTCGTTCTAATAGTTCTGTTTCTTTGCCAGAGTCAAACCTGCTGCTTTTCACCATTCCAGGGGGTACATATCCATGTGGATCTCTCTCTTTCCACACTCAGGGCATTTTCAAACAGGCATTACCTGCCCTCACCCTTCAGCCTGACCACTGGACACACATGCAGCTTATTTCTAGTGTTTGATATATTAGCACGACTATGAATGATATTTTTTTTAAATACCACTTTTTTTGGTTATGAAGGCATTACCCACAGTGCTGAAGCACCTACACGCTCTCAGCTGGCCCCTTCTTCCTGCCACTGCTCCTGCTTGCTTTGTCTGGAACAACTGGCTGCTTAGAGCAGGAGTTTCAAAAAGAATTTATCTGGAATTAGCAGGAATCAATTTGTGTGAAGATAGCTTTTTGTGCTGTACTGAGAAAGAAAGCTTAAAAGATTAAATAAAAGGTGTCTGGACAGATTAGTCCCCAAAGCCTCCCACTACTTGCTGCTGCTGCTGCCTGCAGGTGACTCTACTGTCCACTTTTGCAGTCTGGACTACCATATTCCAGCAAGATTAGTTAATTCCAATGATATATTTATAGCAGAAAAGTTAACAACCTGAAACAACACACAGCCTATTTCAAATTAGGCCATAGTTATGATTGCTGAATAAGTGCTTTTGAAATGGTGCATATCCAGAGGATCTACAGCAACAAGGACTTTATGGAAAAAACCAGAGAAACCAAACAAACATTATCTTCTTCAAATCAAGAGTCTACCCTTCAACCCTAAAATCCTCAAGGCTGGTTTTATATATGGAATGTTTCAGATACAGACTGAGTTTAACACGAACTCAGGTTTTGTAACATCTTGCAGACCAGATACATTTCTGTGCCTGCTGAACATCCACTTACAAATGCAATCATGCCCTGCAGATCCTGGGTGAGCAATTTGGTGTCACACACACGTAAATCAGACACAGGACCTCCTAATCTGCCAGAATTCTAAGGACACAGTACCCTCCATGCCAGTGCTGCTGCTGTTTTGGACAGACATCATCTCCTGCATCACGTGCCTCGTTTCTTAAATTGATACCCGGCAGGAACAGAGAGGAGGAGACTCACAAGTACATTTAATCTGAGCGCTCAGGCTGCAGTGACGTGGGTAAAGCAAACAGCTTTAGCTGAAAGGAACTGCCTCCCCGTTCCAGAGGCTGGAAGTGACCACTTCTTACGTCACTTGAGGGAATTAATGTTCCAGAAAATTAAGCTCGATGTTGGTGTGATCAGGAAAGCGGCAGGGAAAACACGAGGGAGGAAGGTGGTTACGCACAGCCAGGACAGGGGAAGGTACAAAGAAACCTGGACCTTTCCATGGCTCCTTGCCATCAGACCAATGTGAAATCAGAGGTTACACACACACACAGCGTCAGCCACAAAGCAAACAGCAAAACAAGAGACGGCCCCCTGCTAAGGTAACGCCTTCTGGTTGGAGAAAGGAGGCAGATCCCTGTGTAATTACTGCATTCTCTCAAAAACAACTGCTGCTTCCAAGCACCTGGTTTACACAAGATCTGTTACCGAACGGAGCCAATGGATTGTAGCACTGCACTGTAACACTTCTGTAGTTAAACAGAGCAGAGGGAGAATCACGTGTGATGTGCAGAACGATTTCCACCAGTACCTACACTGCCACCAGACACACTGCTGTGACTGCAGCCGGGCTGGATGAAGAAGTTGCCACCCCACTTCATCTCCACTGCTCATTACCTTCAAATCTCCCAGCATAGCTGCCTGTTTAGTCACTTCCTAACCCAGTTCTGTCAAAATGATTCCCGTTAGAAAATCTGTGTTTCAGCTTAACTCAGATTATTTTTGACAGAACTTGTTTAGCGGATGACTATAAATGCAAGTACCAGAAGATCTGAGAACACTGTAACCTTTAGAGCTGGGAGAGGAAACGGCAGCGAGCGTGGAGCCAGATATCCCCGTTCCATGGTTCTGTGCCTCTGGGAGAAGGGCATTAATCGCCCCTATAGGTCTGATTTGGCAGCTGCCTGAGCACTGGAAGCTGTGTATCAAGGCTGGCATCTCTAAAGGAAATAAATTAGTAAATCTATGGACTGCTTATTTTACTGCTTAAAATGCCAGGTTGGGGTTTAGTGCCCAGAAATTCAAATAATTCGTTACAACTACCTGCAGTTCTGTTGTATAATGAGAGAAACAGGCAGATGCTGCTCAAAAGATATTAATAAATGTGCATTTCTGTGGAGTTAATGGATAAATACCAACCTCGCCCTCGCATCTTAAATTATCATAACAAGGGCTGAAAACCTACTTAATTGCTTTCTATGTGTGACTGATGGGAACACACAGTGTCTGTGATTTTACTTGTTACACAGTAAAAGAAGTGGAAAAACTACCACCAAAAGGCAGCATCAAATTACCATCGTGCAAGATAAAACACAGACATGAGCAGGACCTGACACAGAGATCTCCTTACCTTTTGTTAACAGGCTTCTCATCCTTGTCATAGGGTCTGATGAACCATTTTCCAATCCTCACGAAGTTTTTATCCATCAGGCATCTAGAAAACAATTACAGCAGCAATTACTGGTTACATCTTGAGGTGTCATTAAAAGCAGTCTCTGAAGACAGTGAATCTAAGGGATTAGGCAACCGAATTTCCACCATATCGAAATCAACTTGGTGTTTTTGGGGTTTCACAGAACTTTGCCACTTTCTGTTTTCCCACAGAAGTCACAGAGAACCCCTGTCCCATCACTGATGCTGAACTTCACATCTGGATTCTCCCCTCATCTCTGCCACAACCTTTTCTGCTCAGTGCTGCTTTTTCTGGTGAATGATCCATCATCCTATTTTTCACACTCCTCTTCCTGAACAAAGGCCATTCATTAGCACTGATTCTTTTCTATTCCTCTCAGACTCCACGATAAAGAACATGCACTCCTGTATTTCTGGCATGTCAGGGGTGTAATACAGTATAGGAATGACAGGAAATTGCATTAAGCAAATATTAACAATGAACCATTTTTCCTTCACACGATCCACAGCACGATTTCAGGTGCTGAAACTTCCATAATTACTGTTCCCTCTGTCAGAAAACCTCCCTCCAACAAATACCCTCCCACATCACCGAACCAGAGCGATAAGTCACCATTTTCTGTGATCCCTTTAAAACTTCACACTTTCCTTACAGAAACTACATATCCTGTGGCTCTAAAACAAAAAACCCAACGGAGAGGATTCAAAGTGATCAATAACCAATTTAAATTGCCAAGTTAGGAAGTGCCTGATGCCTTTCTTAAGTCCACCTGTGCAGATGAATCACGCCAGCAATATGCCAGCACTAAGTGTGCTCCACACATTAAACATGCAGTGGAACGCGGTGCCCGAGGGATCACACCCAGGAATTCATTATTAAGGAATATTTTTCAGTCAGGTACTAAATAATATGCTTCAAAAATTCTGAAAAACCGGTCATTTGTTGCTACTGGTTAATAGACAAGCAATATACAAGCTTTACCCACACATTTCACATCTATTCAGTATTTTTTTTTTGTTTAAAAGAAAGAACTGTATTTTTTCGCTTTTCAAAGTTTTCCAATAGTTTGTTCCTATAGCAGTTGCTAGAGACTGGCCAAAACAAAGGGGAAAAAAAATCAAAAATCCCATGAAACGTTCTGGGAAAGTACTTTCTTCAAAGTTTAGAAAAACTGTGTGATATATACTTCAAAAGCACACCTAGAAGACACAGAGAGGAAATGGATGACTGACAACGTAGATACTAATATTCTCCTGATTCTTCTGTATAAACTTGGCAGGGTTTTCCAAAGCTAAAACCGAAGAAAATTCTAACAGCACGTTCTCAATTAAAGCAAAAAGAATCCAGTTCAGCCGAATATACCAATATCTTAAACTGAACATGAAAGCTGAGCCAGCAGAGAGACGTTAGTAGAGAGTAAAAAAAAAAAGAAAAAAGAGCTTCAGTAACTGTTTCCCTAGGAAATATTTGCTATCAGAGTGTCTGTCAGTGCCAGCGTGTTTTATACAAACAAAAGGAAGCCTGTGAAGTTTACATCAGATCCCTAAAGAAAATAATCTGTAGTAGCAAAAACTGTAATAAACTCTCCCCCCTCACACACTCACTTCCACGGCCACATCATTGGGTCTCACCACAGCAGGTTTAACTGCCTCAAACTAATGCTGCTTTCCCAGGGAAAAAAAAAAGTCTTCATGGGTAGATTTGGCCTTAAAAATCAGTCAACCCTCCACGCTGAGCTAAATCAGGGGTTATTTAAGGAATAATCCCATATAAAACGGGAGCCCTGACTGCAGCAGCACGGCTCTGGGATTCGGCCGGGCGAGCAGGTAATGACAGCACCGGGTTATTTTTGCTGCCTAAGCACTAAAGGTAACTATCCTTTCACAGTCAGCTGCAACAATGGACTTGTGTAAAAAAAAAAAACCAAAAAAACCCACCAAAAACCAGGTCATGGAAAGCAGCTATTTAATGATCTGAAATAGGGAGATGAAAGGCTCCTCCCGCAGCACTGCAGCTGTCCCAGCACTTCACTGGGGCTTGACCTCTTGTATTTCTGGTTTTTCCATGAAAAACAAACAAACAAACGACCCGACAAGGGCACACTAATTATTATGAAACAGCACCGTAACATTTTGAGTACTGTTCCCTCAGCTCTTTTAACGTTTTCCATATTGCCAATTAACATAACCGGATAACTAAAGTGGGTACTGAGGGGGGGGAAAAATAACACAAACAGTTGTGCAAACGTCCTTTTTCTTACATTTCCCAGGGTTAAGTTAAAGCAGAAGCTTCTCCTTCCTCCCTGCCCCGCGTTGTCCCCTCAGGTCCCTCACGGCTCCTTCATGAGGGGCAGCTCCCCCCTCACGGCTTCTCCTCCCGCCATTTCCTTCCCGCCACAGCCCTCAGAACCCAAAACAACCCCAAAACCCCCCAAAACCTCAGCCCTGTTACTGCCTCAAAACGGAATTCCAGCCTTCTGCTTTATTAATCGAGCTTTTCCTAAACACAGGAGAGGATGGGTCTTTACAGCGTTAATTTGCTTTTTAGTAAGCCCCGCATGCATATTGCTATTATTTAAAATAATAACTTTAATGTTAACTTTAGATTTGGTATAACAAACAAACAAACAAACAAACAGAGACAAAAAGTGAATAATCTGAAGTAAGTTCAGCCATGACACTGTAAAAAATGTCATCAGGAGAGCGGTGGGACGCTCGCGTCCAAGGGTGAGGGGCTGGGACTGTGGCACGAGTTGTATCAGTTTATCGTGGCAAAAATCCACTTATCGTGACATGAATCATCTCAGGTTATCCTGACAGGAATTGTATCAGCTCATCGTGACAGGGATCACATCAGGTTATCAGGACATGAGCTGAGGCTCTCAGCAAACACCTGAGGTGAGTTACCCGCTGATGCTGAGGAAAACAGAACAGTTCTGCTGCCTCTGCCAGCTGATTTCAGTGAGGTTATTTAAAATAAAACAATCAAAAACTTAATTCACAGGAGGCCCAAAGAATAAAAACAGCCACTGGGAGTCCATGTAACTGGGTACTATACATTAATAAACACATATCAAATCAATTTTCCCTTTTATACTGCAAAGCTATGAAAGAACTAGTGAACGTTCTAGACTTGGAATTTAATGTTTATACTTTTATTCACTCTAAGGACTCTACACCTTTTACAGAAATCCCCTAAAGAGACTGGTGGGATAGAAAATAGGAAATATAGCACTTAATCCTTGCACCTGTGGACATGGCCCCTCAGACTTGCCCCGCTGGCAGACACACAGGGGACACCCCGAGGGGACAGTCACCCTGCTCGTGGGAACATCATACAAACCTCATCACTAACAAACCTACAGCAAAGCAAACAGGGCACTGAACGAGACAAGATCAGGGTATTTGCTTATTTTCTGAAAGAAAAAACAGCCAGTGATGCCTCCTGCAAAACTGCCGTGACACAAAGGTGTGTTGTGTTTTGTAACACAGAGGTGCATTATATTTTAGTATTATTGTTATTGTTAGAACTTCAGAAAAAGTGGGACTAGTCTAATGCAATTTAATTCTGAGGAGATATCCAAATTCCTAAGAACTAAGACATAATATAGGAAGGTCTTGATGGCCTTAAGAACTGCAGAAATAGGAATAATAAAACTCTACAGTCCAAGATGCAACGTCACACACTACAGGCCTAATAACAAGATAATCTTCAGTAAGCTTAACAGTTGATAGCTGGATTAAGAAGAAAAAGCCATAAGTGTATTAACTAATCACAGAATAACTTTGTAGTCAAGTTATATATATATATATATATATATATATATATATATATATAT